AGATGTCATGTCTGGAAATCAATTATGAATGGGCCGAGAAAGAGAATTGTTGGTCTGTCAACCCAGAAACTTGGTTTATTGAAGAAGAGAAACGAGTTTTTGAGTTGTGGTGGAGAGAAGTAATTTGTTTACCTGAGACAGCCTGGACCTGAGCCTTATTGGTCGTAGGCTCTTCTTCGCCGTCGCTCAGTCAATAGAAAGCATTTTTTCTAGTATTTTTGTCGGGTGTTCATCTCATTTTGGAAGGATCCCCGGGCAAAGCAGGGCCAGGTGTTCTTAAGCTCTCTTTTTAATGCACACAATCGCACTGGCCTTCCAAATGATGCTTTTAAAGGTCAAAAGCTTATATAAGAAGCACTTAAAGTTCGGATCTTCGAGATAACTTTCGAAACTTTCAGGAGTGCTTTGGCACTCAAATAATTACCATATCACCATTACCATATCCTTGAGACGAAACAGGGGAAACGAAACCGGTGCTAAAACCTAACCAAAGTCCAGGAGTCAATATCGTGTGCCTCTGAGGGACATTTTGATATTAAATTTTTATCTAAACAAAATCTTTAACATTTCGTCTCCAAAACTAACTCAGAAGATATTTTAACAAAAAACGGCTCAAGAAAACTGAACTTTTCATCCTTTTTTTCGCTTTATCCTCTTGTTGTAATAGAATGGTAGAAAGTGTTTTTTTACGGATGCAAATCAGAAAATCATTCAAAATCTGTCACACAAGTAATGGCCGCAAAATTGTGTGCAAACGTGCCGATCTCATTTCATTAATGTATGTCTTTGAAATTCGCAACAGACTCCAGCGAGCAAACCGCGCATCGCCGGAGCGAAGTCCAGGGCCCATACTTTCAAAAAAGTTAAGAGATCGTAAGTTCATCAGACAATCATTGACGGCCTTTCTGGCAAAATCCACCAATCATAGACAAGAAAATAGAGCGTAAGTACTTACGTTCACTTAGCGAATTTTGAAAGTATGGCCCCAGAGCGATAACGCTGCCCACGACGCCCGCCCCCTCGCGCGGTGACAGCTCAAGAAAAATTTAAAGGGCTCTTGGTCTCATTTTTTTCTGATATCAGCTGACCTTTTAGGAGATCAGCTGACCGTGAAGGCTGAGTCGGCTCGAGCTGACCACTAAGGAACATTCTTATAGCTTTGCATGTGGTCTTCCATGCTAACTCAAGGGACTTGGGTAAATTATCTCTAGCTAAAGTTCGCAAACAAAAAGTTATTTAAAAAGCAAGGCAGCCTATTTGGGCTGAGGAAGAAAGAAATGTTAAAATATTCCCAATAGCTTTGTAGGACGGTTTTTCTAAGGCATAACAAATTTGTTGAAACTTTGAACTTATATCCGTTGTTAACATACAGTAGCTCTACTTCTGCTTAGAAGGCTCTCGATTGTACAGATCTTGAGGGCAATTTTTTCAATTTCTCAATAGCGATCTGCCTAATACATTTTATGCGCACTTCTTATTGCTTTCTGATAAATCTTTACCCAAGTTATAATATTTTTGAGGATCTGACTGTTTCATATTTTCTAGTGAGACTAAAAGAAAAATCCTCTGTAAGATGCATATACCGTGAACTCCTATCATCCTCCGCGCAAAACATAAGCAACAGTTCACTGGAGCTGCAAGTTCAATTTTTTTCAACAATTAAGTTATGTTCAATATGTTATGTTCAATGAGTTATCTTCAATAAGTTACGTGATGACACAAAGCATGATAAGTTACTTCAAATGTGACTCGCCTGCTAAGCTGAAATAAAGGGACACAAACGTTTGCCGCGATCTGGCCGGCTCTTTCCAGTTACAAAAGCCAAAACTGAACCAGCGTCTTGAGAAAAAAAAGGGGGTGTGTGGTATGTTGGATGCTCTGAAAATAAAGACAATTGGGAATGCAATAAAAGATATTTCCATCGTTTCGAGGGTGCCAGGTTTTATTTTATGATAAATTTTTTCATTGACATCTATTCCAAGATTTTTTTGCCGATCGAATATGCTTTTTATCTCAATATTAATATTGAAGGCATTGTGCTCTTTTTAAGAACATCGATATGTTGTTCTTCGTTAAAGATAAGTATAAAGTAAAATCATTCATTCCATTTTGTTTCATGTTTTTGAAATTTTGAAGCTCACAGCAAACAACAGGATAGGCATTACTCATGTTACCCTTTCACCCCACAACCTTAAACCTTTTTCGCGTCTGACAAGAAAAATTGCTCCGAGAAAGGCGCTTATCATCTCAATGATGGACCGCCTTGAGCCGGCCGCATACAACCAGCATAACAGGGACAACACATGCCGCAACAGTCCCTTTTCACACATTTAATTTCATATTATTACACACAACATTAACTATTCAATACATACAACTATAAAGGAATATAAAACACAAAAACAATCACTCACAAACGCGCGCTCTCTGTACTATCAGAGCATCAACACATCAACAATACCTCCCATTACTCTATCATATCCTCGTATAGAAATTTAATTTTCACACACACTACATCTTCCACAAGTTATCAGCCTCAAATAGCCATCTTTTTCCGAGCAATCTACATCTAATCAGTTACTCCTCAAACACCCCACACATTACCATCATATCATGTTCCACAATATTCTGCAGTAAAGAAAATATATTCACATTACACGCAGTATTGTCTTTTAGTAAAGAGCACACCTGTTCTTCACAAAAAAACCTTCATTGAAAGGCACAACGCATTTCGCTCTTACTACACAAATTAACACACTCACCAGCACAAGCTCATGTCTAATTTTCCTATTTTACGTCATAAACTAAACCTTCATTCAACCAAATAGATTACCCTTCAAACTCACAACTCGGCTCCATATCTCATAACCTGACCTTGAGCAATTTGCCGAATTCAAGCAATTCGGCTTAAGCACCATAACCTGACCTTCTTACCTAAATTAAAAAAATTACATTCTCATAATTTACCACTATATCACTAAAAACTATATACTCTTTTCCCATTACCTCAAAATGTACTTCACTTTCCCTAATTGAGCTACCCTAAATTAAACTTATTAATCAATTATTTCCTTCATTCATACCCATAATAACTATCCAGCCTTACCTAGAGTTGCCTAGCCTAAGCTAAATTAATCAAACTTTGCCTAACCTGACCTAACCTTACCTTACCCGACCTGACCTTACCTAACCTGACCTAACCTACCCTGACCTAACCTACCCTGACCTAACCTAACCTGACCTAACCTTACATGACCTTACCTAATCTAACCTTACATGACCTTACCTAACCTAACCTTACATGACCTTGCCTAACCTTACCTACGCTTATAAAAATAACTAAATTCAACTTTACCTAAATTTTCCTGACCTTTTACCTCAACATACCTACCTAACCTAACAAATTCCATTTCACCTTATATATAGCCGTGATAGACCAAAAGCCTACCCTTATTTGAATTAGAATACACATATTTACCCTTAACACGTTGACTACGATTGCTTCATCTTGTACTATTATTTCATTTTTAGTACCGTTTTTAAACAGTTTTGCCAGACGGTCATTTTTTCCGGACAAATTCCGTGATTTAGTTTTTTCAATTGCGTTGGCCGGCTAAAATTTATGATAGGGGTACTTCCTAATTAAATTTTAAATACTGCAAAAGGAAAATGAATGGAATTTTTACAGCAGAAGCTACAAATAAACTAGTATATATTGAGTTATCGGCCTTTTTTTGGCCTTTTTTGTTCTCGGATTCGTGGTACGCATATGTACCACTTCGTAGTCAACGTGTTAAAGAAGTGCTTTGGCAACTTAAGTGACATTCGCTTTCCTGCTAAAAAACAATTAATCAAACAAGAGAAACCAAATCACAAGTTGTTTAAAGTCTCTAATTACTGTTTGCAAAAATGAATATTTGCCGCGTACGTGACCATGACTTATTAGTTTGTTACGCATTAGGTAAAAGAACAGTCATACATAAAACTTCATTAAATGATCCGTCGTCAGAAATGAACAAAAAAAAAAACATATAACTAAAGACTCTACCTAGATTTGCATAAAAAATCCATGGAATTCTGAATCACATCCCAATTCCATTACATACAACCCCTCTAATATTCAAATTATAAATTTGACTGGAAAATTTGCCAATTGAACAAAAATTGAAATTGAAAAACTCTCATTGATACCTTCATGTCAGAAAGTATCTTTTCTTCACCCGCAATAACAGAAATCTGATGCAGACTTCAAGCTAAAATCCTCCATTTTGGTTATTTATTCTTTATTTAATTCAATTCAATACCAAACCAAAAAGACTCGACAAAAATAACCGCATTTTAGTGACGCAATGCCAACTACAGATTTATAGTTCTAACGATGTAAATTAAGTGAATAAATTTCTCCTTTTCTATCATATAATGCGCATAGAATCAATGAGGATACGTAAAAATAACTTTATTCTATTTAACATATACCCAGCTGGGTAAATTGCTCAAATTAGGCTGAATTATTAAATAACATCCAGATTTAAACCTTCGAGTCGTACACATGTACCTGATCACAACGTAACACGCGATCCTTTATTCAATCTCAGATATAATAACAATTCAAATTCAAATCAAATAACACGAAAAATTACTTGCAATTTGATACCCCTTCAATCTATGATAAAAATAATTTTCCTCTTTCCTTCTCTTCAACTTCTGATTATTTGAGAATTATCTATTACCTAAATCGATTACAAAGTGATTCATTGACTAACAACTAAAATACTTCTTCAAGCTGCTAACGAACTAAGTTTTACTCATCTACGCGAATCAAAAATAAATACTATAAATTTCAAAAATTGGTTCATAAAATTGAAAAATTTTAACGCACCCTTCATAATTTGCAGTCCTCTCAGTCGCATTCAACATTATTTATCCAAATTTTTGCTTGATCACATTTAATTTTAGATATCTTTGCTAACAACAGACAAAACTTTTCAGCAATCAGGAAGTAACTCATTAAAGTTCATGATTAAAAATTAAACGTAAGAAATTCACTAAATGTTACAGAACATGAATCAGAATACGATAAAAAATTTTTCAGTTCACAAATATGTATCTGCGAAGAACCAACAGAATCGCAAGCTTATATTAGCCTTGCATTTCATTCAACCAGCATTCTGAAACCTTTTCTTGTGCACGTAACACCTTAGTTCCCACACCGCAGTGCAGTTCCACTTGTGCCGTAAAGCAAATCCGCTCAGTGATCTTGTTAGTTCCGCTGAAGTCAGTTCCGTAGTGCAAATCTGCTGTGTTCGTTTTTGTTCTGCTGCAAATCCTTAGTGCAGTTCAGCTCGTTCCGTTTTGCAGTTCCCCTCTCTGTTCCTGTTAGTTCCGCTGGAGTTCAGTAGTGCTGTTCCACGTATTGCGAAGTACTGTTTCGCTCAGTTTATCTTCGATCCGCTGCAGTTCCTTGATGCAGTTCAGCTCGTTCCGTAGTGCAGGTACCCTCACTGTTCGTGTTCGTTCCGCTGCAGTTCAGTAGTGCTGTTCCACGTATTCCGAAGTACTGTTTCGCTCAGTGTTTATCTTCGATCCGTTGCAGTTCCTTGATGCAGTTCAGCTCGTTCCGTAGTGCAGGTACCCTCACTGTTCGTGTTCGTTCCGCTGCAGTTCAGTAGTGCTGTTCCACGTATTCCGAAGTGCTGTTTCGCATCTTCGATCCGCTGCAGTTCCTTGATGCAGTTCAGCTCGTTCTGTAGTGCAGGTACCCTCACTGTTCGTGTTCGTTCCGCTGCATTTCCGTACTGCACTTCCGCTTGTTTCGAGCAGTCTTCCTGGCACGAGGCAACTAAATTTCGGTGAGTACTCCAAAGTTTTCAATTCGTTTGCTTTATAAAAGCTTAGTGATAGCGGCTTCAGCGCCGACGAGCTTTATGATAGCGACTTTGACGCAGACGAGCTTAATAATAGCTACTTTCGCGCAGACCAGCTTGAAGGTAGCGACTTTCGCGCAGACGAGCTTCAAGATAGCGACTTTCACGCAGACGAGCTTGATGGTAGCGACTTTGGCCCAGACGAGCTTGATGGTAGCGACTTTGGCCCAGACGAGCTTGATGGTAGCGGCTTTTGCGCAGACGAGCTTGATGGTAACGACATTGGCGCAGACGAGCTTGATGGTAGCGACTTTGGCCCAGACGAGCTCAGTGTAGTTCCATTAAATAATGATTGATAATAAATTTATATCAATTAATGTTCTCAATGAAACCCGAAATTCATACCTATTACACGAAGACATTCTGCGTCCTAATTACCGAAGTCACAAAGTTCCCCAGCACATGTTCTTAAAATGAATGTCTCATAATTTTATAATCTTCGTTCCTAGGCTGAACCTGCCATGTGGATTAAGTCCCCACCTACCAATTCATCTCTGACGTTCACTGACGTAAACGTTCCGCTGACGCTATCGTTCCGTTCATTACAGTAAGTGCCTGTCGTATCAAAAACTTATTCTACTAATTTAAATTGTTAAGTTTTTATTTATACTCGTACCTTAAGGTTTATTTTTTATCATGTTTTATATACCCATTACTTTGTATACCACTTATAAATTTTATTAAAGCCATTAAAAGCGCACAGATCACATCAAACTTCCCCTACTAAGTAATCTCATTGCGTGTATCATGAAGTCTTATTTGTTCCTAAATTTATAATGTCTTGGAAATACGATGAATCTTAGAAGCGTTTCATTAGAATCTCCAAATCTTGAGAATTTCTCTTCCTGCAAGCATCATCAGCTCTTGAATTTATCAATTTTAACGTAATTACATACTGCATCAATAACGGAATCACCACTTTTAATCCACCCAGCCAACGTAATTCAAAGCTCGTTTGAAATACCGTATTTCAACCACATATAGTAACACTACAAATTCGAACGAATAAAATCTCGACGAAATTCCAAAATTATTATTCAATAAATAATTTTAGCTTATCACTTCATACATGTAAAACTAGGAAATTTAATCACGGGCCAAATTCAATCAACACGATTCAGCCCAGTTCAACAGCTTGAGCTTCAACGAATCTAAAGTTAACATCGCTAGAGAAATACTACCCGTTCATTTACACGAGTCTATTATTTAATCTTGCAAAATATATTTCAGATGATCAACGAGTACGTGCAAATGTCCAAAATGGACCAAGCTGTGGCCTACGCATTTAGGCCAGAAGTAACTCAAGCTAACTTGCCCATGCTAATGAGCAATGATCCTCCCCTAGAGGACTATCGTGTAATGGCCCTAGTCCTCTCTGTGAAAAATCCACGAGACAAAACGAAAACTATCAAGTATTCTGGGAAGGATACGGCAGTCTCCTATCACCGACTCTGCCTATGCCGGTAACTCTACTATGAAAATCATTACACTGTATTTAAAATCTATGCGCCTTCATACATTTAAAAAATTCCTAACTGAATGTTACTTACTTAAGACGAAACTAAGACTGTACCCCAGCACAACCTGCTACTTAATATGCATTTCCTCGAATTGCATGACCTAAATTGTTTAAAGTTTACTAAAGTAAAGTAAACAATCTCTCATTACAGCGATCTCGACTCGGGGGAAGAATTCTACTTCCTCACAACCAACCCCACGCAAACAGCATCAATTTTCCCACTTTTCCGGCAGTCACAGCTCCATGGGGCATTTATCGCTCTTCTCGAGCCAATATACAAACAAAATAAAATTTTAGAAATTCCCTTGCTGACTCTTAAAGAAGCAATCTCCCCTGCCACCATCAACCTGGCCAAAATTCTACTCAACGACATTATCCCCGACCCAGGATCCAACCTCATTACAACATTCCTGTTCGCAACCATACAACTATCTTTAGTTCAGTGCAAATTCCTATCAGGCTGTCCAGCCCCATTTTGTGATGGCTACCATGGGGCCGAAATCCTATGCCCTGCGCCTCAGGCGCAATCAAGCGGTAGTCTTCAAATGGCCCTATCATGTCTGGTATCAGTACCAAATACACCTCTCAAGCTTGTCAGCCATATCAGCGCCTCCTTGGCTAAATATTTCATAGCTCACAATTCGCTAACAGTAAGTAAAACATTACTTCTTTATTTTCTTAAATATCAATAATCGCACCTAACGTACACAGTAACACTAAATTCAATTAGTAGCATTGTAACATCAGTAGCATTGTAACATCAGTAGCATTGTTACAACTTTAATATTAACTACTATACCTACTACATTCATTTTTAATTATATTTGCAGAAGAGGAACCTGGATATTCCTCTCTTGAAAGTGTCTATCAGACAAACCGTGCAATACTACGCCGAGCGCAACGTGCGCTGGTTAATAGGCGGATGGTATAAGAGAAATGTGGAACGAGGAACGACCAAGCTCCACATTTCAACCATCCGACCTGAGACCGTGCTTCCTGAGGCGCCTTTGTTCTCCACTGAAGTACCAGAGCCTGCCAACATTGAGGCTGGACCCGTCGAACGGCGACAACGAGCTCGTCGCTTCGAAGACGAAAACGTTCCAGGGTAAGACAGGGTCGGGTCCTTTGAACTAACCGACTAAAGATTTATAAAATATCTCGTCCAATATTTAGCTCTAACAATGTATGAACTTTCTTGCATTTAGAAGATTTAGAACATGCTCATTGTCACTCATTATGTTAAAGTGTTTCATATGGTTTCTATAACAGACCCGCACCACCTCACGTCGAGCCTCCGGCACGGGCACCTCCTGCTCCTCGAAGGCAGCGTGCAGCAGATGACGCTCCAGCTCAGGAGCAAGGCCAAGAAGCCGCGGGGAAACGCCCAAGAGGCGAATGACCACGAAAAAGGTACCAATAAAATCTTTTATTAATATAATTTATAATGATTGAATAACAATTTATCATTATCTGTGAATTACCATAAAACTCTTCCAAATATTAGCTATTTAGCTATTTTTTTTGTATTTTTTAGCTTAGTCTTCAGTATCAGTGTTCAAATGAACATTCTTTTCCATCTCGTCGACATGTCACTGACGAACTGAACAACCGTTTCCCAATTATCTAAATTGAAAAGCATGTTCAATAATTTATGCACAAAATTAGTGTTTAAAAATCCTGTTTGGTAAATAATGAACCTCTAGTTAACTGTCAGTTTCTTTACATTGCAGCCAAGATAGTTTTCAGGAACCAAGTCGACACAATCGGGGTTGACCAGCGTCTTAACTTGGCGGCACACCTGTATCCCTAACTACCCAGCCCAGCATCATGCTGGCATGCAAGATGTGCATAAAAGTATGCATAATTAAATTACAGCGTTTAACTATTGTTATAAATCTATCCCCTCTTATCAGCGTTCTCGACACTGAAATTCAAAGCTCTACTACAATCGACCGTAATTATCCATCCTGAAATGTCTCTTGCGTCGCGAAAAGGCATGTATCTGTAATGATAATCTACATCGTTTGAAATGAACGAAACACGACGATACTGTCTACTACATACATTTCATTTCGCACTGAAACGTTTGAAAATAGATGATAGAATGCAGGGTTTAATTTAATTTGAATTAACTTGTCCAAATTAGAACGATAGCGTACTTGAACCAACACATTATTTCGTTTTTAACTAAAAAGATTCGTCTTCTAAACCAGATTCATTGAAAAAACATTTAGACTAGTAGTTTAAATAATGACTATCGATTATCAATATTAGCTTAGATTCGAGCCTAGTGCTCTGAATCATATGTTTGAACTATCACAGAGATCTTTATCTAGCAACTGGTGAAATTAAATAGCGTTCAATTGAAAAGAAAAGAACGAACTTGTTCAAGTTCAAATTTAAACTGAGAAACTGCATATCGTATAACGACATCGACAAATTCCAGACAACAGCAGCGACTGATGTCAAGACACCACAATTACGTCGGAATTTCGTTAAATTCTCTGAATTTAAGAAGTACGATAATTGCAAATACTTCATGAAAACGCATTGACAAAATGTTAACTTTTCTATGCATATTGAAACTTCTTCCATACGTCTATTAAGAGAAGATTGAACTTACAAAGCCTATGAGGTCTGTGCTATCGACGGCTTTGTAACCTCATAAACGTACAACATTAATCCTAGTTCATGCAACTTTTCAAAAATTACTGAATTATGAAACAAATATAAGGAAGACCAGTTATTAAGACAATGCTGTGCTGCTAATCGACCCGACAACACTTCTCGCTTCGAGTTCGACATATGATCAACCTCCCTGCTGGCTTTGTTGAGGCTCCGAGCATGAACGCATTCAAAACCAGACTAAAGCTATTGCAAAATTGAAGTATACACTAGAATTTCTTGCCGTAAAATACTACGCCGTGAGAACCTCATTGAATTTTTCGGGGTTTTAATCAATAATTTCTGCATTACACTGACGTTGTACCGAAATTTATCAGCCTTTCTCGATTAAACAAATAATCTCAAAAAAACTAGGGAAAGAAATCAATCTTACTAAGAATAATCGTTTAGACATTTGCACTAAGACACCACAAAAATAATAAGTCAATTTATTATGAATTATAATTAGGCAGAAGAGGTAAGTCACACATCCTGCACGTAAATTTCGACACATTCCTTCACTTTTCAATTGTCCATTAACACTATTGTATATAAACCTCTACCTCATCTAAGTAAGAATTTAACAATAACTAATTGCACATGCCTAGGTCACTCATATTTCCACATATTCTCTTGCAATATATTAATACAAATTATCCTATCACATATAAAATTTAAATATAATGAAAACATTGAATCGTCAATCTTGAGTCGAACAAAATTTATTACACATTCTTAAATCAACTCATCCTAATTCATAATTCAGATGTTCATAAAAAATAGCAATAATTCCTACATAGGACACTCATAAGCCAACGTCGATTTGCAACGAGTCCCAATCCATCTATTCATAAAACACGCTATATTAGAAAAATGCAAATAAAATAACGTTACTAATATCAACATAATTTTGCAAATAGATAAATTTTCTATACTACAATACAAAATATTAAACCTATACATACAAATTCTACAATAACCGTCAACCGCTAGTTGGGTCAAATATAGGAAATAAATCATAGAATTTATTGATCAATATTTGCTACCCGGAAAACTCTCAACTGTACATTCTTCAAAACGAAAACAAACAACTATACATATACGTTTGAAATCAGTATAAAACTTATTTCCACTAGTCCCACACACCTACCATGTTAATACAAAATTATGTAGTTAATCAAAAAATTGAAGATATGAACGTTGCGCACTCAAGAAAAGAAATTTAAATCACTTTAAACAATTTCAACACGTTGTGCCAAATCATATCAAATTTGCATAATAGTACAATAACACGATTATTTGGAACACAAAATCTACTTACTTAGTTTAGTGGCCACATGTTTACTATCGCTTCAACTATTAAGCTATCTCGCACCGAAAGTCAAAATGAACATCACCAACGAGGTGGAATGTCTCAATTATAAATCCTCTATTAAGCTACACTCACACATTTCATTAAGAAATAATTTGAAATTTTAGCTATTGAAACATCATTCTAATCACCCCGCTTCACTAAACTCGGTTGATTTAAGTCTAACGCTTCCAACATCAACGCCTTTTAGATATCCTCCAGACATCAGCCATACAGAACAGCAGTTGGGCCGTGCAAACAAGGTGCACCTTAGCAGACGCCGGTCTGGTAACCATCCCTCATACTCATTCAAACACCGCCTGTACTTGAACCCATGCCTCCTCCGCCTGTGCTCCTCCTACGTAGCTGGCAGCACCTACACATTAAAACCAACGCACATCTGTGGTCCGAGCAGGCTCGGGTTGCGGTTTTCCTGCGCAGCGCGGGCTTCCTGGCGTGACCGGGGCTCGGAGAACATGCCCACCAGTCCATGAAGATCTCATTTGCACGTAGTAGCACAGCCTGCCTAAAATTGCATTGTTAAGCTTCAAAACATGAAATAATCATTTCATTACACATGATGAGTCGAGCCATATTTCGACTCTCTAATACGACGCAATTTATACAAACTTCTTAAACCAAGAAAAACCACTCGTGTTTTCTTATACACGAATTCAACAGATAAAGACATCTATTCACATTCAAAAAATCTCACAAATATTTATAGAAACAAATTACTTGCATTCAAACATATTTAATAATTATAAAGCATTCAAGGTTCATACGTAACTTTAATTCTGTAATACATCTAAAAATTATTTGATGCATTCGAAAAACTCAAGATTTCAAAAACAATTTTCAATATATTAGAAATCACAAATCTCACCTCGACACATATGATCATGGCAAGTGACGCCCAATCCGAATAAACACCAGTGAGCAGTGACACATGCCCAGAAGCGAGGTACATGTGCGATCCTATCCCATACTGGCATATGTAATGCTTCCTGCCACTCGCCACTGGTACAGAATACACGCACACATCCTGAAACAAAAAGTTATAAGAATTAGATTACACACCACCGTACCACGATCCAGAACGATGAAATACAGCCGCACGCTCTGAAAAACAACTAATCATTATAAGAATATTTATAACTAAAAATCCTTGAACTACTAATTAAATAAGTACCTCAAATACATATAACCTACCGAATATTCATTAAATAAAGCCAATGGTTACACTCAAACTTCATAACAAGAATTATTAATAATATTTTCTATAGAATTGAGAGAAAATGAAGCTAAATAAAAAACATCTTTAAATCTACCAATCATATTCATATGATTGGTAGATCCCCCTCCAAGATCCCCCAGGTAACATACCCAGAGTGTTTAGGGACACACACCCAAGGCCATGCTGAAAGCACCACCTTTTGACAGCGACTATGCGCCGTCCACTAGCGACACCGAGACTTTAACTGAACTTCCCGGGGCTCGAACCCACGCCTAGCTCCTCCATCTCGGTGCCGCTCTACCGTCGTCACTGCGCATACAGCGGCCCTATAACCACTGCGCTACAGTGACGCACTAAAAAAAAAAAAAAACCGTAAACCGACTCGTGACAAATCTCTCTCCAACACTCTGCCTGTGTACTATGTGAGACGAGAGCGAACTGCAACCGGTGCGCGGCTGTGTCGGACAGACCGATATGAGAACTTAAAAAGCACTCGCCGCTCACGATCTTCCACTGCTTTCACAGCTGGCTCAGGTACGACTACACCATGTTCAACTGCTGTTGACATGGAACCCTTATCCACCTCACAGCCCCAGGTTACTCACTGAGGTATTAGCTACTACCACCAAGATCTGCATTACCGGCGGCTCCAGTCGGACTCACGTCACGACCTTCAACGCTCACCGGTACGCCACCCTATTCGTCGGGGCTTTGAGGCTTAAGAGGTTTTTGGCAATGCTTTGAAGCCTTTTCTGCCACCGACGGTCATGCATCGGGAGAGAGCTTTAGTGCCATCCATTTTCAGGGTTGCTCGCTTCGGCAGGATTAGTTGTTACACACTACTTAGCGGATGTCAACTTCCATGACCACCGTCCTGCTGTCTTCAGCCAGCAGCACCCTTCCAATGGGATCAAGAGAAGAGCTGTCTTTAGGCCCCTTAGCATGACGTGAGGTTCATCCCTCATTATCAGTCCTGCTTACCAGAACAGACCCACTGAATCTGCCAATTCTGGTCAAGCGACGCACACACCTTAGCAACCTTGATCACCGCACGCACGAGTACGAAACGGCAACACAGGATCGAAAGAGAGCGAGGTCAAGCTTGCACTCGGGGAGACGGGACTCGCACACATGAAACGAGAAGCTCCCGGCAATAAGCACGACCATGCCGGGGCACTCGAACATTTAAAGTTTGAGAATAGTGCGAGGTGTTTTGCATCCCCGCCCCGTCGTGCGTGGTCTGAACGGACCCGTGAGAGCCCGCAAAGACCACAGCCCATTAGCTCTAATCATTCTCTTTACCATTCGAAACTGTATCACCACAGCCTATCGCCACTCGTTTGCACATGTGAGCAAAAGGGTGAGGCCGCCCACCAGAGCAAGTAACTTGCAGCAGATCAGCTATCCTGAGAGAAACTTCGGGTGGAACCAGCTACTAGATAGTTCGATTGGTCTTTCGCCCCTATGCCCAACTGACGCCATGGATTTGCACGTCACAACGGCTACGGGCCTCCACCCCAGTTTCCTGGGGCTTCACCCTCGCCAGGCATAGTTCACTATCTTTCGGGTCATAGCATATGTGCTCCGCGGTGCTCACCGTCCAGCCAACAACACCCGTGAAGGAGAAGCT